CTCTGGCCCACGTCAGCGTCGTCGCCGTCGCCCCCGCCGCCGTTGTCATCGCGTCCCCCTTCAGGGTCGGCGGCACCAGCCGCAAGGCCTTCGCAACATCTCGAGGAATAAACAATGGCGTACACATAAACTTCGGAGATCCGCGCTCCCTGTCGCCGCCTTCTGCGCCGCCCCTGACGCGCTCCGCGAGCCAGGGAGGGGAGGTCCCAGCGCCGATCCCAGAAATCCACGCGGACCTCGAACGTCAGCGATCGGGGCCTTCCAATGGCGCACATCGCTCGGCATCGGCCCACTCGCAGATTAATGCACACCCGGGTCAGTCGGGCTTTGCAGGATCCTGCAAAATCCTTCCAAACTGTGCACGATCTTGCGCGCTAGCCCGGCTCAATGCGCCACTGAGCACCCCTAGCCCTTCGGGAGGAGACCTAAGGCAGGATGGCAAAAAACATGAGGGATAGGGAGTCTTTTCTACAGACGCATCAGACCAAGCCGCCCAGATGCACCATCCCTGGTGCGAAAGCGGGGACCCAAAGGCTCTTGCGCTCTCGACGACAGGCCTGACCCGGCAGGATCCTGCAAGATCCCGCGCGCTGGGTGGCACCCCCTCTTGAAGGGGCCCCGGGCCACACAAGCAAATATACACACAAATGACAGGACCCCCCATATTCTCCCACAGCTCCTGGGTTCTTGCCTTCCCCACCACTTCCCATAGTTTCCCATATTCTCTGGGGAGTCGACGATGAATTGTGCCTCTGGGTGTTTTGTCCCCTCCTGACCTCTGAAGATCGCCCTCGCCTCGAGGCCCTCGCGTCCAGCCTTGAGCGCTCGCGCCGGGGTCGCCGCCGCGTCGGGCGCGGCGCGGGCCTGCCGCGCCTCCAGCCCTCCCCACCGACACCCCCCCCCCTCCTCCTGCTCCTCCTCCTCCTCCTCCTCCTCCTCCTGCTCCTCCTCCTCCTCCTCCTCCTCCTCCTCCTCCTCCTCCTCCTCCTGCTCCTCCTCCTCCTCCTCCTGCCCTCCTCCTCATCCTCCTCCTCCTCCTTCCTCCTCCTCCTCCTCCTCCTCATCCTCCTCATCTCCTCCTCCTCCTCCTCCTCCTCCTCCTCCTCCTCCTCCTCCTCCTCCTCCTCCTCCTCCTCCTCTCCTCCTCCTCCCCCCCCCCCTCCCCACCCGCCTCCTCCTCCCTCTCCTCCTCCTCCTCCTTTCCTCCTCCTCCTCCTCCTCCTCCTCCTCCTCCTCCTCCTCCTCCTCCTCCTCCTCCTCACGAGGACGCGCTGGTGCTGGCTGCGCTCTCCTCGGAGGCGTGCGCCCGACCCGAACGCATCGTAGGACCCTCCTGCAGCACGGCGCTTCCCGAGCGGCGTGTCCGGAGAGCGCCCGCCGCGCCGCATGTGCTAGAAGAGTTCCTCGGTGCGCGCGTCGCCCCTGGGGGGGGGGGGGCGACGCACACGTGGTGCTAGCATGATGGGGTGACGCCGGCTCCAGCCTTCCCTCGCTCGTCGCCCGCAGCCAAGACCAGCCACGAGGCTGGCCGAGAACTTGCTCCGTCGCGGTGCGGCAGAGGCAACCCGCTCGCGCGCCCTGGCAGCTGGGGCAGAGCGTACCAAGCGCCTGGCTGCAAGAGTTAGGTCGGGCATGTCCTCCTACGGGGCGGATTTGGGACGAAAAACTTTCAGATCGTTTTCAGAAAATACTCCAGGACAGTCAAAAACAATCGACAGATCGTCCCCTGACTATTTTTGGGGCTATTTCTTGATGTTCCTCGTGTAGAGGGACTGGCCCGACGTAGTGCAAGAGAGAGAGAGAGAGAAATGGGGAGAGGGAAAAAAAGGCGGCCCGCGAGGCCGTGGGTGCGGACACGCCTTTCGCCCTCGAGGGGAGGGCCCGCCGCGGCACCGGCGGCCTCCCCCGGGGCGCCCCGCCCGCCCCCCTGGGCCTCGCGGAGGGGGGGCTTCTCTGGCTGCCACGGCCAGGACGCTGTCGGCCCAGCTCTGGGCCCCGCCAAGGGTCGGGAGCGGCCAAGACGGGGGCGTCCAAGAGGGGGGGGTGCACATCATGACCGGCGGCACGTGCGCGGCCCAGCGGGGGGGCCAGGGACGTAATGGAACAAGAAGAGGCGCCATGCAATCTGGGGAAACATCATGGCCCCCGCCATGATATCCACACACCCCTAGTCATCACCCCCCTCTTTGCCGCCCCCGACAGGGGGGGAGGGCACTCGCACCGGGCACACGTAGGAGTAGAAGCCTCCTGGATCTTTCGCCCCATCGCCGATGCATCGGCCATGCATCGGCCATGCACTGGCGACGTCGGCAATGCATCGGCGACGTCGACGTGGAGAAAACTGGGCCCCACGTCGAGCCGCATCGCTGATGCATCGCAGATGCATCGGCGATGCGGCGTGAGCCTTCGACCCCATCTACTCCGACCCCATCTAGGAGGCCTAGACGGAGTGACCTTACGTGCACGTCGGCCGGATGAAGCAGGTAAAAACATGAAGCAGGAAGGCGGACAAAGCAGGCTGGACTCAGGCCCCCCAAACGAATCACAAGGCACAGCCAAAGCATATCGGCTCTTGAAATAGGAAAGCGCCAGAAATGGATGGGGATCTGGGGATCTAAAAATACCTACTTTCAACGACCGGCGTGTAAGACTGACCTTTGGTGCGGGGCTTTCTGGGGGCCGCGGGGGGGGACCAAACACGAGCGCGCACGGCTGCTATCGCATCGCGTTCGGCGATCGGAGGACCACAAGGGGCCCGCAGCAAAGGTCACTCCGGCGAAAGGTCACTTACGCGTAGTCGATCACAGCACGAAGGTCTTCAGCATGAATGGCCGATGCGGCCAGCCGTTGTTGAGGTCTTGGCGGAAGCTCCAGAAAAAATAGCCTGGCGAAGGACCCAACCATATGCTGTTGTGAATACCGCAATTGTGCTGGGTGGTGGCGGACGCATGCGGGCGGTGCCACTGGGACCTTCGGTGGAGCTCCTTATGGGGCCACGAAACGCTGTACTGGGTGGGCGAAACGCAAGGAGCAAGGGCTGTGCTGGGTGGTGGCGGACGCATGCGGGCGGTGTCACTGGGACCTTCGGTGGAGCCCCGTATGGGGCCACGAAACGCTGTACTGGGTGGGTGAAACGCAGGGAGCAAGGGCTGTGCTGGGTGGTGGCGGACGCATGCGGGCGGTGCCACTGGGACCTTCGGTGGAACCCCCTTTATGGGGCCACGAAACGCTGTACTGGGTTGATGAAACGCAAGGAGCAAGGGCTGTGCTGGGGGGTGGCGGACGCGTGCGGACGGTGCCACTGGGACCTTCGGTGGAGACCCCTATGTGGCCACGAAACGCTGTACTGGGTGGGCAAAACGCAAAGAGCAAGGGCTGTGCTGGGTGGTGGCGGACGCATGCGGGCGGTGCCACTGGGACCTTCGGTGGAGCCCGTATGGGGCCACGAAACGCTGTACTGGGTGGGTGAAACGCAGGGAGCAAGGGCTGTGCTGGGTGGTGGCGGACGCATGCGGGCGGTGCCACTGGGACCTTCGGTAGAAACCCCTTTATGAGGCCACGAAACGCTGTACTGGGGGGGTGAAACGCAGAGCAAGGGCTGTGCTGGGTGGTGTCGGACGCATGCGGGCGGTGCCACTGGGACCTTCGGTGGAGCCCCGTATGGGGCCACGAAACGCTGTACTTGATGGGTGAAACGCAGGGAGGAGGGAGGAGGGGAAGGAGGGAGGGGGAAGAGGAGGAGAAGAGGACAGGAACGCGGGGACCGTCTATTCAAAACGAGGACCAACACCATAGGATGGTTGGGAAATACATGAGCATGAACTTTCGGAGCTCCGCGCGGATTTTTCAAATTCCTGCTAGAGCCCCCTCCCTGACGCGTGGAAGCGCCGCCGGAGTCGACGCCAGGGGGGCCCAGCGCGGATCCAAGACATCCGCGCGGACCGTCGAAATGTTTGTCCATGCAGCTTTCTCGTCTTCGAAATGAAGCGCAGGAACGCAGGGCACTCAGAGCGCGCCGAGGTGCCAGGGTACCCCCCTGGACCGAAGAAGCAGAACGAATGCGAAGGATGCGAAGAATCGAGAGAAGCTTGCCCCAAACAACAGAAACAAACAATTGCACAAGCAGAAACTTGCGAGGGTCCGCCCCGATTTCTCGGATCGGCGCGGCGCAGGAGGCGCCGCCAAGGGCGGCCATGGCGCCGACCCAAACACTCCGCGAGGAGCTCCGAAAGTATATGTGTATTCCGCCTGCTCTTCGAGAAAGAAAACCCGTACAGAAGGATGCCATGAATCGGAGGATACTTTCGGCACGACAGAAGCGAGTGCTGCAGGAACCAGGTTCTGGACCCAAGGGTCTTCCCCGAGAACGAATTCTTCATCCTGGGTCCTTCTATGTCAATTCCCGGAACATAAAAATAGACGGAAAAACCTCAGGACTTGTTTCCCGCAGGACCCGTTTCCTGTTCTGGGTTCTACTTCTGGGTTCCGCCTAAGGCCGTGCGCGGCCAGCCAGGAAAAAACACTTAAAAGTTGGCTGGCACAAGTCCATGCATCACGTTCTATCACGACGCAAAATTGTAATGCCAGCGCCTCAGCGTCAGAAGACGGCGTTGCTTCAGCCTCGCCCAAGGGCACGCCGGACGTAGTGAAAGTCCGAATCGTGTCGACTGGCTACAACGCGCTCCCTTCATAGTGTGCGTGTCTTTTATTCGGCGTTTCGACATTGAGCGGAAGAGGGGGGGATGGGGGGGGCGCCAGACCTCTGCTGAATGTGGCTGTTTGCAGCAGTGCGTCCTCCGGGGGAGAGGCTCCACCTGGTCGCCAAAAACAGCCAAGATCTACTCCAGGGGGGGGGAGGAGGGGGGGGGTGCGAGGGCCCGCGCCGATCGGCAAAACAACGAGCAAAAAAAACGATGACGCAGCGAATGCCTGCCTCAGAGGCCCATGCCCCGTGGCCGGCTCTGCCTCCGTGTGCCTCCTCCCTGCACGGCGGGGCGAGCGCTGGCCAGCGGGCTCCTGCAGCGCCCTCTCCATCGCAGAGACCGCGGACATGCCCGGGCCCCCCCCGTACCTCGGCGCGACAGGGGGGGTGGACGCTTTCCCCCGGGGCCGTAGGCGACCCGAGGAGGGGAGGGCGAGGAGGGCGAGGAGGAGGACGAGGAGGAGGAGGAGAGCGAGGAGGGGAGGGCGAGGAGGGCGAGGAGGAGGCGGAGGAGGAGGAGGAGGAGGAGGAGAGGGGAGGAGGACGGGTCGCCCAAGCCCTTCGGAGAAGCCCTCCACCGGGGGGACGTGAGCGAGGATCGGCGGCGAGCCCGGGGGGGCAGCGGGAGGGGGCAAGCCTTCCCAGACGGCGGCGGGGGTTCCCAGAGCCCTCGCGCTGTCTGACAAGCTCTCTGGGCCTCCTCCGGAGGGCTTTCTGGGGAGCCCCTGCCCCTTCTCACGGCGCCCCTAAACTCGCCGCCGAGGCGAATCGAGACGGGCCCTACGCCACATGGCACAACCCGTATAAGAACGATGCGTGAGAACGGGGCAAGGGCCTTGGAGGGCCATGTTAGCGATTTTCGAGCGAGGTCGGCCAGCGAAAGCCGATGAGCATGGGCCGACGGAGCAATGATGCAAGGGCAGCCTTGGAAAGCTGCTCATCATTACAACGTGGGCTTACTGCACGCGGGAAGCTGACGCGCGAATGCCGGCACAGTCCAGCCTACGCCACGAAAATATGCACACCGACACCCTCCGACGAATGTTGCATGTACCTCCCTGTGTAGAAAGCCGCTGGCTCTCAGTGGTGATTTATACGCCGCCACCCTCCCCTGGGGCCCAGGAACAATCCAGTGGAGGGCGCCTGTATATATATATATATATATATATATATACACACACATGCATGCATGCATGCATGCATGCATGCATACATACATACATACATACATGCATACATACACACAGACATGCATACATACATACATACATACATACATACATACATGCATACATACATACATACATACGTACATACATACATACATGCATACATACATTCATACATACATACATACATGCATACATACATACATACATACATACATACATACATACATACATACATACATACATACATACGTACATACATACATACATACATACATACATACATACATACATATATACGTACGTACGTACGTACGTACGTACGTACGTACGTACATAGATATATACATACATACATACATACATACATACATACATGCATAAATGCATGTGACTATACATATAAATATACATATGCATATACATATACATATATGTGTATATATACCTATGCATACACATATACATATACATGTACATATACATACACATATACATATACATGTGCATGTGCATATACGTATACATATGCATATACATATACATGTACAGATACATGTATATATACCTATACATATACATATACATATACACATACATAAACATATACATATACCTATACATATACATAAACATATACATATACCTATACATATACATATACATATACCTATGTATGCATACATGCATGCATGCATGTATGTATGTATGTATGTATGTATATAAATATATACACATAGTGTGGCGGATCATCATAAAGGGGCCCAGTGAGACACCAATAACTAGGCACAAATCCCAGGATTCCTCACACTTCCCCAGATCTTCTAGGTTGTCGTCTTCCCCTCCACTTCCCACATTCTCGCATATTTTCCTGGGCGTCGACGATGCATCGCCTCTGTGTGATTTTCCCCCTCCTGCAAACCAGCTCCTCTGCGCCGCTCGTGTGGCCCGCTCACCTCTCGGGCCCGGCCGCACGCCGCACAAAAGAGAGGGGGGGCTCCCCCCTGGAGCCGGCTGGGGCGCCGCGGTGGCCCAGCACCGGCTCCGGCCAGCAGAGAGGAGGAGGAACGCGGAGGACGACGTCGACGACGACGACGACGATAGGGACAGGAGGAGGAGGAGGAGGAGGAGGAGGGACGCGGAGGACGACGTGGACGACGACGACGATAAGGACAGGAGGAGGAGGAGGAGGACGCGGGGGACGACGTCGACGACGACTGTTATCAGAAGGACAGAGGGGTGGGAGGTTGGAGGCGGCTGGGCGGTTTTGGGCCGGAGCCCGCTGGGGGGCCGCATAGGCCCAGCACCGGCTCCGGCCAGCAGGGCGAGGAGAGACAGGGGCCCGGTCATCGCCACGGTCGGACGCGGCTCGAGCACTGGTCAGCTTCGACCCCGTGGGAGGGGTTCCCGGGACCGACCTTAGCCCGGATTTGCCCTCGTCTCCCCGTCCTGGCTGATTTTTGGACGCGGCTCGAGAAACTGGTCTGCTTCGACCCCGGGGAGGAAGGATCCGGGGACCGATTTTGAGCGGATGTAGCCTCATCCCCCCCTCTTGACCGATTTGCTCTGGGCTTATTCAGCCCAAAACCCCCCAGCCGCCTCCAACCTCCCATCCCTCCTTCCTTCTCGTCATCGTCGTCGTCGACATCGTCCTCCGCGTCCTCCTCCTCCTCCTCCTCCTCCTCCTCCTCCTCCTCCTCCTCCTCCTCCTCCTCCTCCTCCTGCTCCTCCTCGGCCGGCTCCCACTCCTGGGCTCGCCCCTGGAGCATCAGCCCCCCTTCCGAGAGCCAGCCCCGTCGGCCCCGCCTGGGGCCGCCAGTGCCAAGCGACGCCGAGGAATCCCTATGTACCCCGAGCAACGCCGAAGGCCGCCTCCAAAGGAGAAGGAGGAGGAGGAGGAGGAAGAGAAAGAGGAGGAGGAGAAGGGAGGAAGCGGGGGAGGAGGAGGAGGAGGAGGAGGAGGAGGAGGAGGAGGAGGAGGAGGAGGAGGAGGAGGAGGACGAGGGAGGAGGAGGAGGAGGAGGAGGAGGAGAGAGGAGGAGGGGTCGCCTAAGCCCTTCGGAGAAACCCTCCAGCCCGAGCAACGCCGAAGGCCGCCTCCGAAGAAGGGCCCAACATTTTGCGTTGCAGCGCTGCAGAAACGGTCCGCACGTGCGCTCCCAGTGGGCCAGGCTCGGGCACGAAGAAGGGCCCAGCACCCACCAGTGGCAATTTCGCAAACAGGTGCGTGAGAACCCCTTTTGCGGCAAAGCCCAGGGGCAATTGGAGAGGTGACTCTCGAGGGGGGGGGCCCTCTCAGTCAGCAACGCCACGGGCGCACGAAGCACCACAAGACCTCTCCACGAGAAGACGAGAAGGGGGAGCGAGCGAGAAGGGAGGAGGATTCGAGGAAGGAGGGGCGGGGAGGTACAACAGCGACCACGGAGGAAGCGGGAGGGGAGAGAATGCGGCGAGATTGTTGTCATGATACGCGCGGTTCAAAATACATTCCAAGAGTTCACAAGTATGTATCGGCCCTCGCCTCTAGAGTCAACGCGGAGCAGAAAAAAACCTGGAAATGCTTGGGCGCATCGATAGTGTGGTCTCTGGCTCCTCTGAAAGACGGAGGGGCGGGGAAGAGGAGGAGCAGGAGCAAGAAGACGAGGCCGTCAGATCCACTGAAATCAGGGGCGGGCCCTGGGCCCGTAAAACTGGACCCGCCTCCCTTATCCCCCCTCCCTCCTCTTCCATCCTACTCCCTCCTCCTCCTCCTCCTCCTCCTCCTCCTCCTCCTCCTCCTCCTCCTCCGCCTCCTCCTCCTCCTCCTGCTTCGCCGATCTCTTTTTCCTCCACTCCTCATCCCCCCTTCTCGTCATCTTGCTTTTTCCTCTGGATGCTCATGTGGGAGAGAACGCGTTTCACGGGCGTTTGCCTTGGGAACATCCGGCGGCGCGTTTCGAAACGGGGGGAGGGCCCCCCCCCCAACGCTCGGCGCTGTATATCAAAACCAGGGAGACAGCCCTCCCCCCCAAACCCCCTTTCCTCCCGAACCCCCCCGCTTGCGCCGGCGCCAGCGGCCGCCAGCAGCGCCGACGGCGGGGACGCAGCGACGATGACAAGAGGCAGCCAAAGGGGGGGGTTCAAAACCCCCCCCCCCCCCTGGCGCCGAGGGGGGGGTTCAAACCCCCCCCCCTGGCGCTGGCGCCGCGCTGGCGGCGGCCAGCAGCGCCGGCGCTGGCGCCGGCGACGGCGGGGACGCAGCGACGACACCACCACTACCACCACCACCACCACTACCACCACCACCGCCTCAACCCACCACCACCACCACCAACCCACCACCAACCACCACCACCACCACCACAGCCACCACCACCACACAACCACCACCACCACCACAACTCACCATCACCACCACCACGACAGGCGACCACCACTACCACCACCACAATCTACCACGCCACCACCACCACCACAACCACCACCACAACCAGCAGCACAACCTACCACCACCTCCGCAAACCACCACACCACCACCACCACCACCGCCACCACCACCACCACCACCACCACCACCACCACAACCACACAAACCACCACCACCACAAACCACCACCACACCACCACACCACCACCACCAAGCCACCACCACCACAACCCACCACCACCACAAACTACCACCACACACACCACCACCACACTACCACCACCACCACCACCCACCACCACCACCACAACCACCACAACCACCACCACAACAAACCACCACACCACCACCACCACCACCACCACAACCACCACCACCGCCACCACCACCACCACAACCCACCACCACCACAACCCACCACCACCACCACCACCACCGTCGTCCTCGTCGACGCTCCCCGCCGCCGCCGCCCGCCGCCGCAGGCGCTGGCCCGAGGAGAGGGAGAGAGGAGAAGCAGGAGAGGAGGGCGGGGGTGGGGCGTCGGTTCTAGCCCCCCCCCCTCTGTCACGGGAGGGGGACGGTGGGGGGGTCCGGTTTCACCCCCCCCCTCCAAGCGACCACAGAACGCGCTCTTTCTCATGTGGCTGTAATATTATTTTGTCTCGCGATGGGCTCCTCAGCGCAGAACATTACCCCAGCCATATCTTGCGAGAGATGCTTGGCGCATGTTTCAAATTGATGTGTCGCGTTTGTCTCTCTCGGTGTGGTGGCACATCAATGGATTACTCTTGACGGGGCGCACCCAGGCTCCGCGATGTGTTCCGAAGCATATTCGCGGGCTTGAACGAGAAGTGGACGGGTGAGACTTTCGAAAAAAAACGTTTCTGAGGTTTGTGCTCCTGTCGCCGACCAGACCCCGCAAGCTGCCGCGTTCCCTACACCTCCTCTCTACAACTGCTCCTCCTCCTCCTCACCCACATCCTGATCATGTTCGCTCCATCCCCACTTCCTCCTCCTCCTCGTCCTCCTCCTCCTCCTCCTCCCTCCTCCTCCTCCTCCTCCCCCTCCCCCTCCTCCTCCTCCTCCTCCTCCTCCTCCTCCTCCTCATCCTCATCCTCATCCTCATCCTCCGCGGGAGGGGGAAGGGGAAGGGAAGGGGGAGGAGGAGGAGGAGGAGGAGGAGGAGGAGGAGGAGGAGGAGGAGCGCACGCGACCGAAGGACGACGACGACGACGACGACGACGACATGTCATCCAACCAGCTGGACCCAAGGACCTCCGCGCCGCCGCAGCTGCTTCAGCCGTGCAACGGCGTGCCGTTGGATCCGAACTCCCACGTGCGGGAACAAACATGGGACGCAAAGCGAGAGTATCAAGATAGAGGGCGCGCGCAACTAAGTCAGAGGCCTCGGAAGAGCCCCACGGGAAAACGGAGACACGATCAATACCAGGCAGGCGGGAAAAACGGGCGGAGGTCTAAAGAACATGCGAAATACTAGCATACACCCGGCGGCTTTCTAAGCAGTGAAAAAAACGATCGGCCGCAGAGCACCCACAGAAGATACAGGGCAGCGAGGGCCCCCGAAAACGGGCAGAGCAACACCAAGCATTGGAACAGGATTTCAAAACGTAAGCAAACAGCCTCGAACCAAGGTTTCGAAGCGCCTTAGGGCCACCAGAGCACGATCAAGACGAGCAAGGCTGCCGGACCCCGAGAGCTTCATCCGATACAGAAAAGCAGCACGATATCCCAGGGGAGAACGGGAGCCAAACCACCTTCCACTGGCATTCTGGATCCGAGACGTGCCAGGCACGGGCACACCCGAAAGGGCACACAGCTGATCGAAGTCAGACCTGGGAGAGTGCACAACTGCACCCTTCCGCGGGGCATCCTCTCGCCGCATGATCCGACACTCATCGCTGTCGGCCATGGCGCAGGTGCGCATGCGAGAGCGGAAGAACTCAGTACCCATCGGTCGGAAGAAGTAGGTAGAAACATGAAGTAGGAAGGCGTTGGAAATAGATTAGGTTTCCGCACGCCTCCTGAAGAGGGAGGAAGAGGGAAAACCACTCGACTCTTGAAGTAGGAAGGCGCTGAAAGTAGATTGGAATTTGGAAATCCAAAAATACCTACTTTCAACGACCGATGGGTAGAGCTGCATGCAGAACGATAGAGGGCGGCACGAGATACCAGCTCCAGCTTCCTTAGCCGAGCCGAAACAGCGATCTCGGATGCATGCTCGAGGATGGTCTTGCGGGGGAAGGGGCAGCCCGCGGGCCGCCGACCAGCATCTGCCCAGCGGCAGGTGTTCCTTGAAATACGTCGCGAGACGCTCCTCCTCCTTCTCCTCCATCTCCTCATCCTCCTCATCATCATCCTCCTCTTCCTCCTCCTCCTCCTCCATCTCCTCCTCCCCCCCCTCCTCCTCCTCCTCCTCCTCCTCCTCCTCCTCCTCTTCCTCCTCCTCCTCCTGCATCATGCAAGAGAGACAACTGAACGAGTTCTGGCTAAAGACAGCCAAGCTCTTGTCAGACCGGGTCCCAGGGCCTCGATCTCACGAGTCCTCTCCAGGCACTTGCGCAGGGGAGCCTCCCAAGACGAAGGCAAGCCATCTTTCCCAAGATAGAAGCCCCAATACTGAGCACAGAAGACCACTGGGAAGTCGTTGAGAAGCCCCATATACCATCATCGGTGGACCCAGCCAGCGGGGTGATCGTTGACTTGCTGCTGTTGAGCTCTAGCCCTGCTGACTGTGCGGCACATTCAAATACAGGTACCACGCGTGCCAGCCAAAGGAAGACATCCTGGGCGACCATGCCAATATCGTCGGCGCAGGCGCACAAGACGGACGGAACCTTGTGGAGCCTGAGCTCGAGCATGCGTGGGATCGGGTCGATGCACAGAAAGAAGAACGAACAACCTTGTTTAATCCCACGACGGGCCCACCATCTATCCTCCCGAGGCCCGCAGAAGGACGCAGAGACCCAAACTTGAAGATAAAGGGCAGCAACAGCACGACGCATCTTCGCTCAGGACGAATATAATCATGGCGTGGGACGGTTGGGAAAGCAGCCTTGATGTCAAACGTGACATAGCCCGTGTGCCGCAGCCGTCCTGGATGAAACATTCACTGGCCTTGGACTCCAAGGCAACGATGTAGTTGGTGAAGTTCTCCCAGGAATGAAGCCCCTCTGAATTTCGGAACAGATTTCCTAGATAATACGGGTTCTTGGCACATTGACTGTACAACTGACAAGCTTCTGTCAGAGCTGCTGATCGTGATTGGCCGTGTATGAGATGGCCCGCGATATACAAAATCCACCGTGTCATTCTGGGACTCGCCCTTGGGCAGAAAAACAACAATGCCAAAGTTGAAACGATCGGGAAGCCGGCCATGCGCGAGAAGCCCCTGATGGACAGCAAAAGGAGATTCCATGGTGAATACACCTCCCCGCGCCCAGGTGGAGTAGGAGAGGAGTAGGAGAAGGAGGAGGACGAGGAGGAGGACGAGGAGGAGGGGGAGGAGGAGAAGGAGGAGGACGAGGAGGAGGACGAGGAAGAGAGGGAAGGGGGGAAGTGATGAGAGGGCACCCGGTGAAGCTGCACTGGAGGCTCCTGCGGGCGACGGCGCTGCAGCTCCACATGGCAATGCCGAGGTCGCGGGACTGAACCTGGCACCAGCACGCCGCACTTTCGGGGCGCTGGGATTAGCGAATCGAGAAGTAATGCGACTAGATGGTATAAGAAGTTGAAGAAAACAACAAAAACAACGGGCAGGGACGGCTAACCAAATCATTTTCTCGTCTGGGATTATATTCCTCTTCCTCCTCCTCCTCATCATCATCATCAGCATCATCCTCATCATCCTCATCAGCATCATCCTTACCATCCTCATCATCATCATCATCAGAAGCAGCATCACCGTTATCATCATCATCATCGTCATCATCATCATCATCATCACCATCATCATTATTATCATCCTCATCCTCATAATCATCGTCATCATCACGATCGTCATCATCCTCAGCATCATCATCATCAGCATCATCATGAGCATAAGCATCAACATCAGCATCAACATTATCACCCTCGTCGTCATCATCGTCATCATCATCCTCATCCTCATCATCGTTAGCATCATCATTAACAACAACATCTTGCGTCTGCGGCTGGGCAGACAGTGACTGCTACGGCGGATTGGCAGCAGGGGGCACGCTGTATACAAACTAAGGCCGCCATGCACGGAAGGAGAGGAGGAGCCCCAGCGCCGCGACAGGAAGAGAGGAAGCCGGGCCCACCAACGAGGAACACACACACACACACACATACGAGGGGGACTGGCTACGGGTATGGGTGCGGGTTTCCGGACCCCGGGGGGACGCTACCGTTCGAGCGGGGACCCCTGACCCGACAACACACACCCATGGCCCCCATCCGTCCCCCCTATGGGTATAGGTTTAAGTCGGGCCTGTCCCCCTACAGGGGGATTTTCGATGAAAAATAAAAAAATAAAAAAATAAAAAAATACCCCACAAATACCCCAAAAAGCTACAAAAATACTCAAAAAATAGTCCCTGGACTATGTTTGGACTATGTTTTGACTATTTTGGGGGGTATGTTTCATTTCTCGTCGAAAATCCCCATGTAGGGGGACAGGCCCGACAGAAGTGTGGGTGTGTCTGTGTAGTTCGCTCGTCCTTGCTCGCCCTCCGCCACCCTGCCCGCGCCGCCGAGAGGCGCGGCCGCCGCTCCTGCCCGGGGCGGCCCAGGACGGCCCCCGGCCGCGGCCGCCCCGACCTCCCCCCTCCTCCCGCCGCCGCCGTGCGGGCGGCGCCGCCTGCAGCCCGTCGGGCTCCAGCTCCTCCTCCCGCCTCCTCTCCTCTCCCTCGCCCTCCGCCCCCCTCTTCTCCACCCCCCTCCGACGGCGGCTCCGACTCCGACTCCGACGAATACGACGACGACGACGACGACGACGACGACGACGACGACGACGACGACGCCGCCGCGACGCCGCCGCCGCCGCCGCCGCCGCGGCTGGGCGCCTCCAGTCTCGCCCGGCCCCGCAGGAATCGCAGCCGCACGATCGGGCCGATGCGCCCGTCCCCGTGCATGGTGCGCGCCTCCAACCAGCCGCCCTCGCCCTCGGACAGCGTTCCTAGGGGGCCGCGGAAAGGGATGATGATGAGGAGGAGGAGGAGGAGGAGGAGGAGGAGGAGGATGAGGAGGAGGAGGAGGAGGAGGAGAGGAGAAGGAGGAAAGGGAGGAGGGAGGAGGAGGAGAGGAGGAAAAGGGAGGGGAGAGGAGGAGGAGGAGGAAGAGGAGAGGAAGGAGGAGGAGGAGGAGGAGGAAGAGGAGAGGAGGAGGAGGAAGAAGAAGAAGGAGGGAGGATGGAGGAGGAGGAGGAGGAGGAGGATGGAAGAGGCAGTAGGGAGGAGGGAGGAGGGAGAGAGGAAGGAGGAGGGAGGAGGGGGGAGAGAAGAGGAGGAGGAGGAGGAGGAGGAGGAGGAGGAGGAGGAGGAGGAGGAGGAGGAGGGGGAGGAGGAGGACCAGGAGGAGGGAGGAGGAGGGGGAGGAGGAGGAGAGGGAGGAGGGAGGAGGGAGGAGGACGAGAAGGAAAGGGAAGAGAGGGACGTGAGGGAACAGACGGGTGAGGAGGAGAAGGCGGAAGAGGAGGAGGAGGAGGAGGAAAAATGAGGATGATGTGGATGATGAAGTTGATGATCACGACCTGCGCGCTGGTTCTCTGCCTCAGTGTGGCTCGAGGCCTCCCAATTCGGTCCGAACAGATGAGATCGGAAGATCGCGCCGAATCGCCATTGAATCGCCGATGCACGAGCGATGCATCCGCGACGTCCGTGATGCATCGGCGCCGTCGGCGTGGAAAAAATCGGGTTCCAAATCGAGCCGCATAGCCGATGCATAGGCGATTCGGCGCGATCCTCCGACCCCAACGGGGAGGCCTGGAGTGGCCAAAATGATCCAAAATGTCCTTCGGCTAAGCTGATTCCAGTGACCATGAAATCCAAGCGTTGCACGTCGCGTGTTTTCACAGCCTGGGCGTTTCCGCCCGGCTTCGTACAGAAGAAGCATCACAGATGGACTCAGCCCGAAAGATGCCTCAGAAAGATGGTGTCTGAGGATCATGCGACCAAATGAATGGAAAAAAACGAAGTCGGCAGGGGCAGTTCCCAAAAATATCCTGGCGAAGGGACCAACAATACGCACTGCGAGCACCGTTACGCAAATCATACGAAGGATGGCAATAGATCGTGAGAGGGGTAAGCCAAAATAGCGAGGCGCCGCCATGCGAACTTTGCCACTGGGGCCTTGGGTGGAGCTCGCTATGGGCCACGAAACGCATGAGGGTTGAGCAGAATAGAGCGGAGCCGCAATGCGAACTCTGCCACAGGGGCAGTCGGCGGAGCCCCCAATTTGTACACGAAACGCGCGAGGAGCGCGCCGCAATGGGGCGGTGCCGCCATGCGGACATTTCCAGTGGGGCCTTCGACAGAACCTCCTGCGCGGCTACGAAAGCTGCGAGGGGTGCGCCGACATCGGGGCGACATGCGGACTTTGCCAGTTGGGCCTTGTTTCGAGCTTCCTTGCGGGGCCACGAAACGTGCGAGGGACGTAGCGCGGAGAGCAGAGTCGGGACTGGGAGGAGGGGGAGGCGGCATGGGACGGGAGGGGCCGCGGGGCGCTGTGGATTCAAAACGGGGGCCCAACTCAACTGAGGACGCCTGGGGAATACTTGGTTCTCGTCTGAATCGCTGGATGCGGCCTGGCGGCCTCGACAGAGGCGACGACGGCGAACCCAGAACAAGATTGCATCGTCCACTTCCCAGAGGGTCGCCGCGATCCCCCCCATGCATTTCTGCGCAGCGCGGTCGCATCATAAACAGCCGGGAAAAGTTGAAACCAAATCAACAAGACTAGCATCGTGAATGATCTGCAGACGGCAACGCCCAAAGAGGATCAGTAAGTGAGATTCGTTTTTCAATGTTGGCAGCGTGCGCACGCGTGCACCATGGACCAGGTCATTGACATGCCACACGTTGGTTTGCGCGCCTAGTGGCAACATTGGGAGGCGGACGCCACTTCATGCCCGGGTGCTCTTCCAAGTTGATCCTTCACAGGGCCGCTGGCGTGGGCGGTTCCACATGCTGCCTTGCGGTTTCGTTCCCACCAGTCGGATGGCTAACATGCAACGTGCAATGCAGACGTGACGGTTTCCGTAACATTGACAGGCGGATGTCACTTGATGCGACGGGCCCCGCCTGGTCTGATTCAACATCTTTTCGGTTTCCAGCCCTGTGCCACTTTTGTTACAAACCTTTTTCGCGGGGATGTACACCGCTCGTGGGCCCAGGGCTGGCCTGGTTGGGGGCGGTGGCTCATGTGCAGATCTCGCCGCCCATTACGTGACACAGATCGGGGTGCTCATCGGGCGAAGAGGTGACGTGAAGCGGGCCCGACTGTCTGTCGATGATGTTGGACAGCTCCTTGTACTCCGGATTTCATGATAAAGTCGGGGGGGACACGTTTGGGGGGGGGGTCTGATTTGAGCTGTCTTGGAGGGTTCGTGGGGGTCTGGGCAAAGGGCCGCCCTTTCATAGATGGTCTGGGAGGGTCTGAAACTTCTCGTCTGGAAGGGTTGAGACCCCCTCCCTTTTGTTACGAAATCTGGAGTGGGTCTCGTCGCCAATCCTGAACCCAAAATGTAGACATCTATGGGGGGTGCGCATTCTGCTTCCGCCAGCCTCCGCCGCCCTTCCGCAAGCCTCCGCCAGCGGACCCCCGCCCCCGCCATCGCTTCCGCCGCCGTTCCGCCGGCCCGTCGCCGCCCTCCGCCGAGGAAGGCACGTCAACCACTTCGAGCCCTCAAAGGCGAGCCCCTGTCTGGAACGCACCACACGGCCCAGGACGGCCTCCAGGATGGCCCGGGATGGCCCGTGCCGTCCGATCTGCCTCCAGCGTGCTTCCGGGAGGCCACGGGACGGCCCCAGATGGCCACGAAGCCTCCCAGGGATCCCCGGGGGGCCCACACCGTAAGCGCCGATTGTCCGGTCCGGGTGGTTTTTCTGAGAAGGCGAAAACCCACCCCCACCCCCAGTCCCGACTCCATCCCCGAACCCGCGATTCAAGGAGTCGGGACTAGGGGTGGGGGTGGATTTTCGGGGTCCAGGAGTGGAGAAAACCCACCCCCACCCCCACCCCCAGTCCCGACCCA